TTTCAATGTTCATCCACGTTGTAGCATGTATCAGAATTTACTTCTTTTTTTAAGGCTCAATAATATTCCATTGTGTGTATATACTCCATTTCATTTTCTAGTCATCCGTTGATAACATTTGAGTCATTTCCACCTTTTGGCTATAGTAAATAATGCTGCTGTGAACTCAAACAGAACAAGTATCTGTTTGAGTCCCTGCTTTCAGTTCTTTTGGGTGTATACCTAGGAATGGAATTGCTGGATCATATGGTAATTTCGTTTAACTTTTTGAGGAACTGCCAAACTCTTTTCCACAGTGGCTGCACCATTTTACATTCCCACCAGCAACGTAGAAGGGTTTTAATTTGCTCACCTCCTAGTTAGCACATGTTATTTCCTCCCTGCTTTTTAAAAAAGTAACAGCCATCTTAATGGCTATGAGATGGTCTCTCACTGTGGTTTTGATTTTCATTTCCCTAATAATTAGTGATGTTGAGCATCTTTTCATGTGTTTATTGGTCATCTGTATATCTTATTTGGAGTCTATAGGAATATGTCTATTCACATCCTTTGCTCACTTTTGAAATGGGTCATTTTTGTTGTTAAGTAATAGGAGTTCTTTATATATTGTGGTCATTAATCCCTTATCCAGATACATGATTTGTGAATATTTTTTTCCATTCTGTGGTTTCTGTTTTCATTCTCTTTATAGTGTCCCTCAGTACACAAAAGCTTTTAATTTTGATGAAGTCCAATTTCTCTTTTGTTACCTGTGCTTTGGGTGTCATGTCAAAGAAATCATTGCCAAATCCAATGTCATGAAGCTTTTCCCCTATGTTTTTTTCTAAGAGTTTTTTTTAAGGTTTAAGTCTATGTTTAGGTCTTTGATCTATTTTGAGTCAATTTTTGTATATGGTGTAAGGTAAGAGATCCAACAATTCTTTTGCATGTAGATATCTGGTTTTCCTAGCATTATTTGTTGAAAAGACTGATCTTTCTCTATTGAATAGTCAGTCTCATTACCATTGTCAAAAATCAGGTGACTATATATGTGAGAATTTATTTCTGGGGTCTGTTTTATTTCATTGATCTATATGTCTGCCTTTATGCCAGTACCACACTGTTTTGATTACTGTACCTTTGCAGTAAGTTTTTTAAGATCAGAAAGTGTGAGTCCTGCAACTTTGTTCCTCTTTTTCAAGACTGGCTTTTCAGGGCTCCTTGAGATTCCCATATGAATTTTAGGATGGATTTTTCTATTTCTGCAAAAAAAAAATGCCATTGGGATTTTGATAGGGATTGCATTGGATCTGCATAACTTGGGGTAGTATCATGTTAAGTCTTCCAATCCATGCACATGAATGTCTTTTATTTGTATCTTTTCAAATCTCTTTCAGCAATATTTTGTAGTTTTCAAGTACAAGTCTTTTGTTTCTTTGGTTAATATGTATTCCTAAGTATTTTATTCTTTTTGACACTACTGTAAATGGAATTGTTCTCTTAATTTCCTTTCTGGATTATTCGTTGTTAGTGTATAGAAACACAACTAATTGTTTTTGTGTTGATTTTGTATCGTTTTTATTCTCTTAGTATCTTTTGCAGAGCAGAAATTTTTAATTTCAGTGAAGTCCAGCTTATATATTGTGCCTTTGGTGTTGCATCTAAAAATTCATCACCAAACCAAGCATCATCTGAATTTTCTCCTTTGTTATCTTCCACGAATTTTAGAGATTTGTGTTTTATATTGAGGTCTTTGATCCACTTTGAGTTAATTTTCGTGAAGATACAAGATCTATGTTTAAATTTTTTTTTTTTTTTTTTTTTTACATGTGACTGTCAGTTCCAGTACCATTTGTTGAAAAGCCTATCCTCTCTCCATTGTCAGTGTCAGTTGACTGTATTTATGTGGGTCTATTTCTGGGCTCTCTATTCTGTTCCACTGATCTATTTTTTCGTTCTTTCATGAATACCACACTGTCTTGATTACTGTAGCTTTATAGTAAAGTCTTGAAGCTGAGTAGTATCAGTCTTCCAATTTTGTTCTTCTCCTTCAATATTGTATTGACTATTCAGGTCTTTTGCGTTTCCATATAAACTTTAGAATCATTTTATCAATATCCATAAAATAACTTGCTGGGATTTTGGCTGGGATTGCATTGAATCTGTAGATTAAGTTGGAAAGAACTGACATCTTAACAATCTTAAATCTTCCTATCCATGAACATAAGATGTCTTTCCATTTATTTATGTCTTTTAAAATTTCTTTCAGCAATGTTTTGTAGTTTTCTGATATAATTAGTTTATCTTTTTAAAAAAATCTTTAGGATTCTCTACATATAGGATCATGTCATCTGTGAACAGAGATAATTTACTTTTTTCTTTACATTTTAGATGTCTTTTATTTCTCCTTTCTTGCCTAACTGCTCTAGCTGAAACTTCCAATGCTTTGTTGAATAGAAGTGGCAAATGCAGGCATCCTTGTTTTCCTGATCTTAAGGGAAAAGCTTTCAGTCTTTTCAGCATTGAGTATGATGTTCACTGTAGGTTTTGATATATAGAGCCTTTATTATGTTGAAGATGTTCTCTTCTTTTTGTAATTTAATTGTTCAGATGCTGATTTTAAATGTGGAAAATTCTATTTTTCTTTCTTCATCTCTCATTTCCCCTGTGACTCCCCTGCCAAGGCCACAGCTCTTTACATGATGCAGCAAACACTTGCTGATGAAAGCTCCCAGGATTTCAGCTTCAGAGCTCACAAGCACCATAGTGACCAGTCTAAGGGATTCATTGTGCCAGTCAGTCTGCGGTGTAGTCAGTGCTCTTCATAGCCAGAGAGATGTGGAACTTGGGCAGCCCCCCTGAGTGAGGACAGCATCACTTTATTTACAAGTTTGTTTGGGTTTAGTGTCTGAGACTTGCTTCAGGAAATGTAACATTGAAATAACATACTCTTTCCTAGAACTGTCCCTGACACAAAATAGCAAGTTAGCAATGTGTTCTATTCATGGGATCGATTAGGACAAAAATTGAGGAAAGAAGGGTCCCTGCCCACTGGACGTTGGGAAAGGCTCAAAGAAAGAAGTGAGAGTTGAAGGGGGAGGCTCGGGTAGGATGTGCCTTCTAGGTGTTGGGATCAGGAAGCAAAGGCATATTGAAGAGTGCATGGGCCGCTGACCCCATGCTGGCCTCTCTAGTTCCCTGCCCACACCGGAGCCCTGCTATACCTTGTCACCACTAACTTTGCCTGAAGGTGCTCTTTCTGATACTGTCATGGACGCTAAGGCTGACAATGGCCTGGAAACTCTGAGTACAGAGACAGTGTTGCTTTTTCTTACACAGCTAGGTTTTTGCTTACTATCCAACTTTTCAAACAAATAATATTGTTTAAAGATACATACATGCATATATGTGGTCTATAAAGACAAGCAAAGAAATGATTAGCACAAAAGTCAGGATAATGGCTTCTTCTAGCTAGGGGAAGAAAGGGGAGTTGTGATTGGGACACAAAGTGTCTAAAGGGGCTCCTGCTATGGCACGGCTGCACAGGTTGCCCACTGCACAACTTTAGGAGAGGATGTGCACACAGACCGTGGTTCCTCCAGTACTGGACAGAATCCATCTCTTGCCCTGAGTTGTGAGTACATAGACATTCATATTTTTTCTACAAAATAATAACATAGTTTACATATACTTTCTGAATATATGATTGACTATATCAGGAGGTGGCAAACTTTCTATAAAGGGCCTATAGTAAGTCCTTACTTCATGTCATTGATAGGTTCTTAGAAACTGCAACTTTAAGTGAAATGACATACAGCAGGTCTTTGAATAAAATTGTTCCCTTTAATGTTGTTTTGTTATAATATTGATGGGGAAAACATCATTATCAAAACGTCATTATCGTTTCGCTTAAAATCAGTTTTCAAGAACCTGTCCATGACGTTAAGTGAGGACTTACTATATTTTAGGCTTTGCAAGTACATAGAGGTCTCTACCCCAATGACTTAATTCAGCTATTGTAGCGTAAAAGCAGCCAACAATATATAAACAAAGGAGCTTGGCTGTGTTCCAGCAAAACTTTATTTACAAAACCAGGTGGCTGGCTGGATTTGATTTAGGGCTATAGTTTGCCAAATTCCAGATTTTCTTTTTTTTTTTTTTTTAATTTAAGACAGAGTCTCACTCTGTTGCCTGGGTGAGTGCTGTGACGTCAGCCTAGGTCACAGCAACCTCAAACTTTCTGGGCTCTAGCGATCCTCCTGCCTCAGCCTCCTGAGTAGCTGGGACTATAGGCATGCGCCACCACGCCTGGCTAATTCTTTTTCTATTTTTAGTAGAGACGGGGTCTTGGTCTTGCTCGGGGTAGTCTCGAACTCCTGAGCTCAAGCTATCCTCCTGCCTTGGCCTCCCAGAGTGCTAGAATTACAGGTGTGAGCCACTGCACCCTACCCCAAACTCCAGATTACACGATTAAATCTTTAAAAGAAGAAAATGTAGCTGTGGTTTATCTAGGGGACTGAGAGTGGAGAGTCTGGGCAAAGGATTCATTGGAGGTTTTTAGCAAATAAGATTGAAAGCACAGCCTTCTGTAATCTGTGTTTATTTTTAAATAAGTTATGACCATGAAAATGTTTAATTTGACTTTTTATGAGCTTGGGGCTTTGTCCACTATAATGTAAAATATTGAGACAAAATTGCTATTAAAACTTTGATTTTATCAGGAAAACATTTTTATCAGAATTATCCAGAGTGATTCTTTCATGAAACAAACATCATCTGACATTAATTCATCATCACCAGATGCCAGGCGTGATGCCAAGTGCTTTATACATGTTATTTCTCTTCCTCACAATAGTTCTTCAAACTAGGTATTATATTTTGTGTGCAGTTTAAACTGAGAAAAGTTGACTTTTCTAAGGTCATGAAACTGAATCATTCAGCTTCAAAGTACACTCTTTTTTTCTACCATACACTGCTTCTATAAAAGACATCTTGTTTAATGCTGCCACAATTTGTTTTAGATTGTCTTCGCAGTTTTACTGACTTAGAGGAACTTGATGAGACAGAGTTATATATGTGCCATAAATGCAAAAAGAAACAAAAGTCCACAAAAAAGTTTTGGATTCAAAAACTACCCAAGGTAAGTGTTGAATTTCAAGTAATGATGTGATTTCAAGGGGAAAATGCCTGACTGCGGAGAAAGATTATAACTTCAGACTATGTATGTGAACTGTTCTGTATTTGTCTCTAGGGTTTTCAGTAAAAGCTAAACCCTTTGAAAATTCATAAGGTGTTCATGGAAGAAAGCAATATCAAGGATCAAAAGAAAAACTGAAAGGGCACCTAAAATACTATATTAGAGACATTAGTATCAAACTTTGAGAAGTCAGTTAGGTGTGTTCACAATCTTTGTGCTTATCTCTGCCATCCAGGTGCTATGCTTACATTTGAAAAGATTTCATTGGACAGCATATTTAAGAAACAAAGTTGATACATATGTAGAATTTCCGCTGAGAGGCCTAGACATGAAATGCTACTTACTAGAGGTAAGATGATTTCCTTTTTAGCATGGTAAAAAGGTAATCTCTTCAATAAAATTAAGTCTTCACACAGAGAGGGTAGAGGTCATCAAGGCAGGAGATATGATGTCATTGACCACTGCTCTTAACTCAAGTCCTGGGGATGCCTTCTCTCTTGTTCTGTGTAGCCTGAGAACAGCGGCCCGGAGAGCTGCCTGTACGACCTCGCTGCTGTGGTGGTGCACCATGGTTCTGGGTGAGTGCGTAGTGGGCTCCCTGTGGTTGGGAATACCTGGTGGCCAGCACAATGGAGACCTACAGTTTTGCACAACTCTTAATAGTACATCCTGAACTCCCCCCAAAATGGATTCAGATACATTAAAGTGGGTGAAATAGAACTTACCTTTAATTTTGCTATGAAACAGTATTCCTGAAGCCCTAGAAGGCACATAAAAGCAAAATTGAGAATGGTTCATTTGAGCCTAGCATTCAGAACTCAATCTATTTATGCAGAAAATCCTGAGTCATCTTTACTCCAGAATTATTTCCTTCACCAACTGAAATTTAAATGGGGGGGGGGAAACGGGGAATTATTAGGAATAACTTCATGTCATCTACATTAAAGATGCATTTTTCATTTTGTTGAATAACATTCGATTGTTTTTTTCCCTTGAAAGTTTTTATTAGGGTATATACCATCTGATTTCTGGTCTGTTTGAGCTATTGTACTATACATGGGCAAACCACTATCTATGTTGAAAAATCCTTTTCCCTCAGAATTTTGTAGACATTGCTCCATTTATTTCACCACCCATACAGGGTTATAAGTAAGTCCAGTACAAGTCTGATTCTCACTACTTGATAGGCAACCTGATTTTTTTTCTCTTTGGAAGTTCTTTGGATTTAAGAAATATCATCTATGTATTCTTGCTTGGTATTTGGTAGGGACACTTTTAGTTTGGTGTCTTCAGCTCACAGAAATATTTATACTATATGTTCGACTTCATTTTCTAGTTTGTCTTCTGGAACCCCTGTTAAATGTACGGTGAATTTCCTGATCTGTCTTCCACATGTCTTAACTATTCTTTAATGACTTTTATCTCTTTGTTTCCAAAGACTTCCATGGACTATTTTTCCAGATCACCAATTTGGGTTTCAACTGTATCCAAATCAAAGATTAGCTCCACCATAAAACTTTTATATTGTGGCGATCACATTTTTCTGAGAACTTTTTCATAACAGCATATTCTTGTAGTATCGTCTTGGAACTATTAGTACTAATTAGAATTTTTAAAAGTCTCCAGTTTTCTGTGTTAAATTCCTCAGGGTTAATTGATTTACTTGTTCTTCCTGGAACTTATCTTTCATGCTACTTCTTTCCCCTCAAGAATTTGATTTTTGGTTGTTTATTCAGAATCATACTGAGTAAGGAATAAGATCGATCATTATTGGTAAATAAGGGTTTTTCTAGCAGTTGTGAAAGTCTCTGTTCTACCTAAAGGCCTTTCTCTTGACTGGGAGGGCTAACTCTAGGGCTCCATGTGTGAGTGGGTAGGTCCTGCTGATGGGGAAGTCTTGATGACCAAGGTATCAGGGAAGGTGCTTCCTTGGAGGCAGTTTTCTTTCTTAAGCTTAGTTTTTGTCCTAAGATTCTTATGGAAAACTGAGTACTAAATTTCCCATGTTCCCATAGGCCTTGACCTATGCTTGTTAGGTCGGGAGTTCCTCATCTCTGTTTGGTTTCTCCATTAATCCAGTACCATCTATTTTATGTAACCCTCAATTTCTGGTCAGTTGATGGTATTCTTTCCTGTTTTTTAGTGTCAGTATATTCCTTGTCCTTTTGATGGGTTTGAAGGAAGATGAACACATGAGCTCAACCAACCATCTTAAACCAAAAGTCTCTAGGATTTATTCTTTAATTACAGTAACTTAAATTACGTGGTTGTACAGATCCTTTTGTGATTTCTGCAGTCTTTTTCTATGATCTTTCACCTTTTCTTCACAGGGTTGGTTCTGGACATTACACAGCATATGCAACTCACGAAGGCCGCTGGTTCCATTTCAATGACAGTACTGTAACACTGACCGATGAAGAGACCGTGGTGAAGGCAAAGGCCTACATTCTTTTTTACGTGGAACGCCAGGCCAAAGCTGGATCAGATAAACTTTAATACCTCCTCTAAATCATCATCATTCATCAACTATACCGGACAAACATTTCCTATTTTCCACAAATACTTGATCCAAGATTTAATTTCATTATGCACTTTTCAGTTTCCTATTTTGGGTTTAGTTTTATCAATGGTAGTGACTTATTGAACATGGGCACCAACTAATTTTGTTGTTGTTCTACCAGAAAACCTCAGCAGACATTTTGATTTGCTGCTTTAGTTGTAATAATTCAATTTTTATATGTAGTTCCAAGAACTTAGTTCTATTTGACTTTTTTATATTAATGTTTTCAGTTCTCACTTTGAGGCACATTTACATCAATGCTTTTGTTACTCTCACATGCTGACAGCAAGATACGTTCCTGACTGTGAAGAGCGACACAATTGCCTGCTGCCTTTTCCAAGCTGTAATGGAGATCAGGTTGACTCTAAATCACGGATCATGTGCTCATGTAATTTGTGGCCCACAAGATTTCACAGTGACTGCTAAGTAATCATTGTCTTTGCCTGTTAAAGATAACTGAGAGGGCATCATTAAGTAGACCGGGTAATTGCTGCTCTTGGTGTCTCAAGGCTGCTGTGTATCAGCACTAACTAAATCAATCTGTTGGTTCAGTTGTACCTCTACTGCAAATACAAGAATTACTCTCTTTGTTGGGGTATTTTTTTTTGTTTTGTGTGTTCATGGGGGGAGATAGGATGAGAGTAAAGAAAAGTCCAAATAAGATGAAATATATTTAGTATTTTAAAAATTCTGTGATCAGCTACATGGTGTAGGTGTTACCTAGTAAAATAAAACCATAGCTTCTGCTTGCTTTTTTGATCTGTATCCAATTCCCCCTTTAGTTGTAGCCCTCGAAATAACTGCTCGTCCACTTTAGACTTGCTTCTCGTTTAGCTGAGGCTGAGACGCAAACCTCCAGAATTGATTTTGACCGTCACCTGTACTCAGGTGTCACTGTGCGGTCTGCTTCCACAGAGAGAGTAGAGTCTTTCCCACTCTGAATTTTAACAACTCTCATTGGCCTATCCTGATAGCAAAGCAAGTTGAAGATATTCTCGCTTTGAATAGTTTTTATTCTTGAATTTAATAGTTTTTACTTTAAAATTAAGAAAAATAGGTATAAGCACTATTTAGCGTTACCTCAAATTGGAATTTGGAACCAGAACCCCATTTAAAGAAATCGTTGTAATTTCTACAGATGTTCTAAGCCTGTCCTTCAATTTTTGGGATGGTGGTGGCAGAGAGTAGGAGCTCAAAACAGCACTGTTTTCACGTTCATCTTTTGTCTGACATCATCATTTTCCTTCCTCCTTAATTTTTTACAAGGGACAAAATGTATCTCATGTTAAGCCCAGCCAAATCAGACTTTTTGGTAATCTTGTTTTTTCTATTAAAAGAAAAAATAGGACTTTTTAAAGTGTATGAATATAAAAAAAATTATGATAGCTTTCCTCCTAGGTCAGATATTTGAAGTTACAGGAGATGTGGCTCTATTTACATTTTAATATTAGCTGGATACATCCTCTCAGAACACACCTGCTAAACACTTTAACATATCATCTAATACCGATGGCTACTGGCCACATGTGGTTATTTAAATTAGAAACTTAGTTCCTCAGTCATACTAGCCACGTTTGAAGTGCTCAACAACCACATGTGGCATAGGACAGTGCAGGTCTAGTACATTCCCAACAATGCGTAGAGGTCTCTTGGACAGTGCAGGTCTAAATTTTCACTCCAGAGAATGAAGCTTTGCCATCACGGTTTGGGCAGAGAGTCCTAGAAGATAATCAAGAGGGAAGTGTGGACGTACGATAGTTTATAATGCTAAGTAATATTAGGTTGAACTAGATAAAATCGTGATATTTGACTGGTTTTGATTTACGAAAATGAGTTTCCACATTTTTTGATCGAATATATCAGTACATTAACATTATATCTAATTGAACCTGAAATGTGAGTCTCCTTTGATCTTATTTTCTATGAATCCAGGCTGTTGTGCTTAGAAGGTGGACAGCTGTAACTTTTAACATTTGCACTTATATCTTTTCTCTCTCTGAATGGGCAGCTGTTATAACTTAATAAAGACTTGGGCAGAATTGATGTTTTTATGCCGAAAGCTTAGAACTTAGCAACAGACTGGACTTTATTGGGGAAAGTGGTCTTTAGACAGGCAACTGTTGGCTTAAGAGATGAACACGTCTCTTTGAATTTCCATTGTGTTTTTAATGCTTGATTTTACTTAAGCAGAAATGTTTGAATAGTATCATGAAGACTCCTTAGAAAAGCCATTGGATCCATTTGAATTGTGCACTTGAACACCAGTGATGTAAATGTGCCTATTGTATTTTAAATTTTTAACTGTGCAGCCTATTTTAAAAGCCGATCTTTTTGTGCTCTTCAGGGCTTTTCCCTTGTGCCATGTTGTCTCCAGCATGTACGTGGCTTCTCACTCAGAGAGCTGCTGAGGCCTCACACCGAGTCACATGGCTCCTTGGAACAAGAAAACTTTCTCAGAAGTCCTCCCACACAGGTGGGTGATAGAAACCGTTTGGGGTGACACAAATCTCTCTCCATGGTGGAGAAACCTTTGCTTATCCACTGTATTCTACTCAGTGTATAGTGATGACAAATGTAATAGAATTAAACCAGTAAGGTATACTGGCCCTGGTTACGTGTTAAATGTGTATCTCACCTGTGGAACCCACTCAGCAGCTTGGTTTCTTCAGTTGGGGACATATTTATTTCTTAAAGCCAAACCTCTCCTTCATTGGTTTAGTGTACATAGTCTATTTAGATATACTTATCCCACATTAATCTCTACCGCCCCCTAAACTCTGTTAGTGGCCTCTTCACTCGGGCTCCGGAAAAGCTCCTGGGCAAAGCCTGCTTTTGCAGCCAGGGCATAGGTCCTAGGTGACTAGGGTGTAGCCACGGAAGCACGGGAAGGAGAAGTGGGCACGAGTCATCTGTAGTCCTGGGTCTCCGCATCTCATCACTGCGTGCAGCACCTTCCCCCCGGGTGTGGGCACGATGGACTCCAGGCTGCCTTCCACAAGTATTGGTCATGCTGTAATGTAATCATTTGCCATTAAAACCTAGTTTGTGTGATGCCAAGAGGATTGTTTAATTGTGCAAGTGACTGATTAAGTTGTAATCACATCCCTTTTCTGCTTCACCAACCTGAACTGTTTAAAAAAGTATCATTAAAGGTCTGTTCTCTTTTCTTTTGACTATTATTTCTGCACACCTTTCAGTGAAGCCAAGTAAACTATTGTGTACTTAAGCTGTGGGCCCTACCAACCAGTCAGTCAACAGGCAGTAAGTTCTTACAGAACCCCCACGATTTGAACTGCTGGTGCACCTAGGCCAGGAGGAAGTGACCTGTGTACCAGCAAGGTGATGGCCGGGAGCAGATCCTTTAGTGCCTGCAGGTGAGTGCCTGAGGTCCCACTCACCCTTGCCCAATGAACTCAGCCTTAGTCTCTCCTTATGACTACTGATTTTATAAAAAAGGAGGACCTTTCCCCTCCTTCAGAGCTAGACTCTCTATCCCAAGAAACCAGTTTTGGGGCTCTGAGCAAAGGATATTGGTAATGTTTTAAAGCAAAACAGGCAAATAAGTGCTGTTGTTAAAATAAAACAAAAAACTGCTTACCGTAAGCTCCTATATACTACCTCTCTGCTCCCATGCCTCCTGCAAACAGAAAAAACAAGACCCTGTTTCCACACCCATCCTTTTTCTGACTTATTTTCCTGTTGTCAGTCTTCTAACATTGAGAAGAGAGGTGCCTGCAGCTCAAATTGTTCTGCCTCCATTTCCTGCCCCGTGAGTCTGGGATGCTTCCTACCATGCACCTGGAGAAGCAGCCAGAGGCAGGGCTCTCAACATCCTTCTTGCCAGTCCAGCAGGGCTACGGCTGGAAGCCATGATGAGCCACAGTGACTCTTCCCCAGCAGACAGCATGATTACATGACTCTGGCCTTTTTAAGAAGCTGGAAAGAACTATCTATTTCTAAGCGTCAGCCCTCCGTGGAAAGTATTGGCTTGGAAAGGACTTGGGAGGGAAAGTGGCAATAATAAGGCTTTTTAATAACCCCGTCCGTGTCCTTGCATGGTTAAACAAACAAATAAAAAAACCCGTCTGTGGTGCTGCAGTGTACCCTTTAAGTGAAGTACACCTAGACAGAGCCTAGAGGGACTTCAGCTGCAATTCTCAACTAAAATTATTAGCTTGAAATAGCAGCAGCAGCTGGTTACCCCTTCCTTGAGAAATGCTTCCTTTTAGCTGTTCCTTGGTTTATGTTTCCAAGAAAGTGCCCCCTGCACTCTTCACCTTGGCATGCTGGGGAGATAGAGGCACAGGAGGACCAGCTGAGACCGGCTCCTCAGAGGAAGGGCGCTGACTAGAATGGCTACTTCTTTGGTCGCCTGCCTTCTGCTTTTAAAGGCAAAGCTGCACCAGACCTGACCAAGCCTTAGGTCCAGCATAGTGGCTTCGTCTGTGTCACGAGTCCACACGATGGGAAACAAAAGTATTGCCATTCCTTCCAATTCCAATTAAATGGGGAGAACAAACAAAAGTGACCACGGAGGTGGTGCTGCCTGGGCTAGCAGAGGAAGTGTTCTCACCCGACTAGCACAGGCAGGCTGTAGCTCCACAGCTGTACCGTCTCACCATCCCCCAAACACCCCGACCAACGACAGCCAGGGACTCACAGTAGGGCATTAAGGTTGGATGTAAAGCAGTATTAGGAGGTGGGTCCGCCATATTCTGAGGCCTCAGGTACTTCAGAAAGGATGGAAAAATACCTCGAGGCAACTTGCCTAGAGGTGAGTGAGAGAGGGCAGGGATTGACCCAGAGGTTTCTCCAAGAGCGAACTGGGGGCACTAACAAAGGGATGGTGTGGGGCTGGCTTAAAGGCAAGCACAGACTAAAATACTTCAACTTAAAATTGCTTCAAGCAGTTATGCATTAAGGGCTACCTCATCCATCTGACTTTTTGGGAAATACAAGCTCTATACAGTAGAAGGATGTGTAACTGGAAAAACATAAAGCCAAGTAAACTTAAGAAGTTTAAAGTTTAAACCATGGACACGCACACACAAAAAACCTTGGAAAGATAAGCTACTTCTGTGAAATCTTTTATGAAACAACTCGGGGTAAAAATAGAGCTGTCTGGGAGGCCAAGGAAATCCCCTTGCCTAGTGGAGGGCAACAGGACCTGAAGGTAGATCAGCCTATCCTGGAAACCATCACTCTGGAGCAAAAATAACACAGAAACGAGGCCTTACTCATGGGTTCTGCTCACAGATCTGAACTGTCTCCCATAGCTCTTTACGGACAACAGGCTGCTTCCAAGTAAGGGTGGAGTGAAAGATTCATATTGATGTACTAGAAAATCAAAACAGTTAATATTTACAATTAGAGTCGCTCCCTGTGAGACTGCAAGCCCAGACAGAGCTGGTCTGGCCTGCCACCTCCAACGAAAATGCCTTGGGAAAAGCCAGAAGAGCTCTCTGCTAAACACCATTGTCAGCTAAAAGGAAAAGAAATCCCTTTTAAGGAAACTATTTAACTTCAATAGGCTGCTTTTCTGCCAGGATTTTCAATCCCTCTGAACATAAGCCGAACCACAGACTGCTGCACGTATGTCTGGATCCTGGCTTTTCTTTTCCCCCCTCCTCACAGCTTCAGCACCAGTTGTTAGCCAAAAATAAACACCATTCCTCAACCATATATGTCCAGCAGCCCAGGCCTGGGGAGGAGGAGCGGGAGGTAGGTCAGTCCCTTGGCTCCAGCTGCACTCACGTGTGGCCACTGCTCACCATGCACATAACCCAGCTCAACCGGGAGTGCCTGCTGCACCTCTTCTCCTTCCTGGACAAGGACAGCAGGAAGAACCTGGCCAGGACCTGCTCTCAGCTCCATGACGTGTTTGAGGATCCCGCACTCTGGCCCCTGCTGCACTTCCGTTCCCTCGCTGAACTCAAGAAGGACAACTTCCTCCTGGGCCCGGCACTCCGGAGCCTCTCCATCTGTTGGCACTCCAGCCGCGTGCAGGTGTGCAGCATTGAGGACTGGCTCAAGAGCGCCTTCCAGAGGAGCATCTGCAGCCGGCACGAGAGCCTGGTCAATGATTTCCTCCTCCAGGTGTGCGACAGGTAGGCGGCCTTGCCTCCTGAGCAGCGCTGGCTTCGCTGGCTCTGGCTCTGGCTCCCGGGGATGCAGGGAAGAGCAAATTAGGAGACCACGATGGCTCTGCCTTGGGGCGCCTCAGACTAGGCCCAAAGCGGACACCCAGGCACAGTCCCCACGAGATGGATAAAACCATGAGAGAAACAACTGCTAATCCTCCTCTCAGCCTCCCAGGCCCCGGAGCTACTTGCAGTAGCTTATGCTGCAGACAGAACTGGGGCTTCAGCTGTCCCTGCTTTTCGGCCAGCTGTCCTTCCTGGTAGCCATTAAGTGCTAGGCGGGTCCAGCTGGGCCTGGACTTTCAAGGTCAGGCCCTGGGAAAAGGCTTCCAGATGCAACAATCAGCTCATCCCTCCCTTGCTTAAGCCCTAGCAAGAGCCCCCAAGGCCCGTGAAACGCTGAGGAGGGAGGGCTAGGGTGCTCGGTTAGCTGAGCCAAACCAGATTCTGGGAGCAGAGGCAGTAATAAATAATGGCTTCCTCTGAGGAACTTACTAATTTGCACAGTACCCCTAGGGGGCATTTTAGCCTAATTTTTCAAATGGGCAAACTGATGTTCCAAGAGGTGATGTTCCCATAATACAGGGTTGCCATATTTTCACAAAGATACAGGCTGTCCAGTTAAATTTGAATTTCAGATAGAGTAATTTTTTAGTACAAGTATGTCCCACATACATTCTGTATTTGGTCTGTCAACCCCAGCCCAGACACAGGCTGGGCCACCAGGCCAGGCTCCCTCCATGGTCCCAGCCTCCTGGGTAGGGCAGCCTGTGCAAGAACACAGAGCCACTCAACCAGCCTCTTGCTGAGCTTCCACCAGTCCCGTCCTGCCTTTGAGGAAAAGCACCCCCTTGATTGCTAATAAACTGAGCTTGGCTGTTCATGGAAAACAAGGCTCAGCCAGGTTGTTGCCACCCAAGTTTAATAGCTGCTGTTTCCTGGCAGCACAACAGAACTGGAAGAAAATAGTGTGGTAGCCCCACCTTTCTTTTTTTTAAACTGGTAAAAAACAAGGTGGACTAGGGGCTGGGCCCTGGCTGGCCCAGGCTATTTTGGTGACCTTGACAAAGCCCAGAAATCAGACTGGGGAATGACATGGGGTAGGGGAGTCGCATAGTTTGCGCTGAAGTTGTTACACTCTTGCTCTGAGAGAACTAGGCTTAATTCCCCAAACCAGCACGGTGTGGAGGGACCTCCCAGGCTACTGTATGGGTCAAGCAAGGGGCCCTGGTGTCACAAAACAAAGGGCTTTGCTGTCCAGGTCCCCAGATCTGCTACTGTCTTACTGCATGACCCCAGCTCAAATATTTTAACCTCTTGCAACCTCATTTCTTCTATAAAATGAGATAAATTCCTTCATCGCACAGGGTAAGAGGATCAAATGACACAGCAGCACCTGGCACATGGTAGGGACTGATAAAGGCCTACTGAATCTGGTTCTTCAGGCCATCAGCTCAGAGACCGGGAGGAGCCGCTGAGGATGGCTGGGCAGGGAGTCAGCTCTTTTTCTGTTTTTTTCCTGTTTAGGGGAAGGGATCACTCAACACCCTTGGGGCTTGAACACCTAGTCTTGAACCACCCTGAGGGTAACAATTTCTCCCTCTTGACAGATGCTGAAGTGGCCCAGCAAGGTTCAGACATTCGTCCTGGGTCAGACAGCAGATAAGTCACAGGCCAGTCATTTGAGCCCTGGGCCAGTTTCCTTATTTACAAAACTGCAGGTGCAGAAGGTTGACGGGATGCTAAAGGCAGGCGGCACGGACTCAGTGCGTGAAACGTGGCTGTGCCCAGTATATGCTGGTTCTTAATCCCCCTCACCCCAAGCACAAAGGAGCTGAGCGGCCCCAGACGGGTGCCCTCAACGAGCTAAGAGGGAGGCTCACAGGAAAAGGGAAACTCTTCCCCAGTCCCGACGCCGGCTCCCTCTGGCTACGGGGAACCAAGGTCCAAGCCCATGAGACGGTCCTTCTGGACTGGAAGCAGTCTGGTCCTGTTTCCAGTGAAAGTGGGCTGCGACTGTCTGTAGAAGGCCCCGCTGCTGGTTTACACCCCAAATCTCGGTCCTCACAACCCCACTGGTAGACAGTATTCTTCCCACACATTAGGAAACTGAGTCACTGACTTGGCCGAGGCCACACTGCAAATAGGTCTAACTTTGCTCAAGATTTTTTCTCTCCAGCAGGTGCAGGCCAGGCTGCAGCAGAGAGCCCTCCAAGCTCTCCGGGTACAGCTCTGTACCGCCTCGGGCCCCTCACCTCCTCCAGGCTGGCGTCCAGGGGGATGCAGTAACTGCCCCAGGCAACTGAGCTGGACCCAGGGCCAATACTGAGGGGTGACCCCACGGCCTCAAGGGTTGGAATGGGGCTGTCACTAGGTCACCTGCCATGGAAACAGACCCTCCTCCCGCCCACGTCCTGCTAGGGGCATTCGGGACCTCGGCTTGAAGCCAGATGAGGCAGTCGCCACGCGCGGCTCCTCTGCAAGGCAACAAGGAACAACAGCTGTCCCTCTGGGAACCGGCACCCGCTCTGTCCCCGGCTGCCCCAGGACTCTGGGGGGCTGGGGCTGCCACTGGGGGTTCCTCACGGGGCCCCGAGACTGCGCCAGACCTACGCCGAGTACGGTCTGGTGGGGCGCAGTGGCAGAAAGAGCAGGGAAACGAGCTGGACAGCCCTGGCCGGAATCCAGCCGCGTCGCCGCAGGCCGCTTCCTCAGCGCCGTGCGGGAGTCCCGCCGCGTCCCGAGGCCGCTAGTGGGTTCAACGAGCCAGTGAGCCCCGGCCAGGCCAGGCCTGGGCCCCCCGCCTCGGCCCCGGCCCGGGGTCACCGCGCTCTCCCCGCAGGTGCCCCAACCTGGCGTCCGTCACGCTGTCCGGCTGCGGTCACGTCACCGACGACTGCCTGGCGCGCCTGCTGCGCTGCTGCCCGCGCCTGCGCGCGCTGCGCCTGGAGAACTGCGCGCGCGTCACCAACCGCACGCTGACGGCCGTGGCGGCGCACGGGCGCGCGCTGCAGACGCTGCACGTGGACTTCTGCCGCAACGTGAGCGCGGCCGGCCTTCTCCGCCTGCGCGCCGCGTGCCCGCGCCTGGCCCTGCGCGCCGAGCACAGCGCCGCCATGCTGCCCGACCAGGCCCCGCGCGCGCCCGCCGCGGGCCCCCGCAAGCCGCCGCCGCCGCGCTAGGCGCGCCCGCCCGCCCGCGCAGCCCACGGGGCAGGGGCCCGCGTCAAACCGGCCTGGCTGCGAACCCCGCTCCTCCACCTCCCGGACCGTCGCGTCTTCGGAGCCTCAGTGTCCCCGTCTGCACAACGCCTACCTCACTTTGCAATTTCATACTTGGGATGGACGCGAGATTAAATGACGGATGTTCGGAAAACACTCGGCTGGTTCTCACTAAACACCACCACCTCTCTCCTCCTTCCGCACCAGGTCCTCCTCCGTGCGCCCCGGGGACTCCGCTCGCCGCAGGCGGAAGGGCCTGACCACTGCCACCTTCGGCCGTGCTCGGGGAGGCGGCAGGGTGGGGGTCCGACCTCCTGCGCGCGGGGCGGAGTGACCCCGGCGAGGCCTGACCGCTGCCCGAGGTCCCCTAGCGGCCGTCGCCTCGGAGGGCTCCGCCGACGGCGCAGGCCCCCGGCAAAGCGCTGCGGCTGCGGGCAGGAGGGCAAACCCGGTCGCAGGGCTCGAGGGAGCCCCCGAAGCCGCTCCCACATGCAGCTTTGTCCGCGCCAGCCCGCTCGCCTTTCCTGGGGCACACGCGATTCTAGAACACTCGCTTCTATTTCTTTCATAAATTGCATAATTATACATATTTTCTACTGTTCTCGTATCATAAAGTCATTTGATAAAACCCCAAAATATAAAAATAATGCAGTAGCCATGGTTAAGTCCTTTGATAATGGAACTATTATAAGCTGATGCAAAGCTAGATTTTCACCTGTTGGATTTGCTGGACATGGGCACACGCCTGTACTTCCAAGTTCAAGGCTTCGGTCAATGTCCTACCTTTAATAAAGGCCACAGCCCCCACGCAGCCTCCTGGGCCCGTGTACCCGAGGAACCGTGCTTAGGTGGAAGAGCGGGGCGCTGCGGTGGGCAAGGCCTCCCCTCCAGCTCCACCCACCGCCAGCTGTGACCAAGGCTGCTCACCCATCCGGGCCAGGTGTTTCTTCTCTGAAAGACGAGCTTGATCCCTACTCACAGGTTCCTCAAATTCATTGCCCAGACAGGGAAACAGGAAAAAAGAGACAAATTCTGTTCTCATGGAGCTTACATTGTAATGGGTGAAGAGAGAAGTAATTGTATATAAGGAGGTGGTAAGTACTATGGAAAAAAGTGCAGGCTCTGAGGAGGTTGAGGATTGCTGGCAAGAGATTGGGATGGGGAAGCCACTGGGAAGGGGTTGACCAAAGTAAGCCTCACTGAGAAGGTGACATTTGAGACAGGTGAGTCAGGGAGCCAAGCAAACCATGTGGGAGGAAGATATTCCAGGAACAGCTGGTGCAAAGGCCCAGACTAGGAGCACGGCTGGTGTGTTGGGGGAAGGAACAAGGAGGTCAGTGTGGCTAGAGCTGAGCTGTGAGGAGGGGAGCTGAGGAGAGATCAGAAAAGTAAGGGATGGAGGTAGCCGTGAATGGACAGAGTAATGTAAGGATGAAATGAGAGATTGTGATCCCCTCACCCAACCTACCCCCAGGAAGCCAGGGCCCCATGCAGAAATGATATCCAGTGAAGTCCCAGAGGCACTGACTTTTTTCAGGCATGTGGGCAAGCAGCACCCTGCCCCACCCCAGTCCCTCTGGGGACGGCTGAAGGGCTCCGCGGCTGCCCCTGGGCCCCTGGCTGGGGCAGTGCTTACCTCAGAATCAGGGTAACCACACTGAGCTCTGGCCCAGATAATCCCTTCTAATCCGTATGTTGGGGGAGCCAGCCCGGTCATGCCACCAGCTGCAGTGGAGTGGCCGGGCCCCACTACTAGCCTGTGAGACCCAGGCTTCGTTTGGGTGATTTTTCAGTTTGCCCGCCATCACTCTGGACTCTGGAGAGAGGCCTTGCAGGGACTTAATTTTTCTCCTGCTAACATGAACAAAGTTGAAAGCAAGCTCAGGCTTCCAGGGGTTGGCTGAATGTTCGTCTACAACAAAGCCACTTAAGCCCCAGGGCTTTGCTTTCATCATCTCCAGTAAGTCCAAATTCCCAGCAGGTCCTCTTTGCCCTAAATTGGTGGTTTAACCTGGGAAACAACAGGATCCTGGCTTCAGGCTCTAATGGATCTGGGTTTCCATCCCATTTCCCTCACTTTCTAGCCCCGTGTCCAAGGGCAGGCCAGCCCTCTTCAAACCTCAGCTTCTTATCTGTGTATTAGGGATCGCAAGAGAACCTTGCTTGAGAGGTTCTTGTAAGGGTCATGATTGTGTTTGTAAAGCAAAAGTCACTGCAGGTTGAGCTGGAATTTCCTTTTTCCATGGAAGGTCTTCCTCTATCTATAAATGAGAGTCAAGTTCCCAGGCTAATCCTCTGATGCCTAGTAACTCCCTCACATCCCAAGACTATAGTGATCACAGAACTCAAGTCGCGCTGGCAGCTGTATCCAATGCTGTTTCTAGGGCTCTAAACTGGCACCCACCCTAGCCAGGGGCACTTTGGGTCCCGGATCCAAGGACCATTTTAAGTGCTCCCAGAAGGTGGGCACTGATGGAGACCCATGGCTCTCCACTCTGCCTTCTAACAGTCACTGTTCACCGTCACCAGGCACGAGTGAAGCCCTTGACAGAACACAGTATCCCATTTAATCTAAAAAACTGCTTTCAAGGTTCTCTCAGGTTTGCGTAGAGCAAGGTGCCTTGCATGCTTAATTAATCCACCAACTCATTCATCTGACAAGCACTTAGTAGTGGCCATGGGGTTGGCCTACCTCAAGGGACTCGGCTCTAGTTGAGAGCAGACATGCAGCTGAGGTTGATAAGTGTTTTTGAGTGATCTCCCAGCTTTGCTGTCCATAGCTTCTGACAAGTTATGACCTCTCTGAATTTCGGTTTATTTATCTGTAAAATGGGATCAATACCCTCTCTGTGACATGATGAGATTAAGTCTAAATGTGCATTGCCTGGAAGGTAAGGCTTGGGGAAGGCATCTCCCATCTATGGAGGGCTAGAAAAGCTAAGTGCCTGGTAGAACCCACAAGGCCCAGGCACTGGGAAGAAGCCAGGTTTATACGTGGGTGATCCAGGGACTCATAGAGGGCTGGGCACAGCTCCCACAGATTCCAGCTGTGAGGAGGGTGTCCCTATCAGCAAGCACAGCTCAGCAAAGGCAAGAGGCAAGAAGCCCAAGGCACGTCCAGGAAAGGAAGAGCCCAGGGGAATGGGAGCCTGATTGTGCTCCAGAGCCACCCCACAATGGCTTGGGGGTTCTCAGTGCCCTCACGGCCTCTATTAGATCACAGACCTCCCCCAACTTCTGGAATGCTAACTCTTTTTAATCTCAGTTTTGGCCAAGGCAGCTGATGGTCACATACAGGGAAAGGCAGGGGGAGGGTCCAGAACCTCAGCACTAGGACACCGCTCCCTGGCTGGAGGCTGACCTGTCACCATCACACTGGTCTGCACAGGAGGCTCAGTGCCAGCAGAGAGACCAGGGCCACATGTTCTTACGTCAGGGGTTCCAGACTCCCCCTGGGAGGCGGCAGCCTGCTGCTGGGAGGTGGTGTTCTGAGGCTTGTTTTGCAGGGACAGCATAGGCTGTTTGGGGGAGAACTGACTGACACCCTCGGCTCTAACACAGCATACTGACAGGAAGCTGAGGCCCAGATGCACCTGTGATCCAGTGCTTTCCCTCTCCTGACCTTGGATTCTTGGTCTATAAAAGGAGAAGTCAGCTGACCCCTTAAGAGACCTTCCCTCCAGCTCTAGAATTCAATGCCCAAGACTTGCTTTTGGCTAAAAACCAAGCTCACCAGATGTAGGCTTTATCTGGTCAGCAGTGCTGGGCAAAGGCCACAAAGCTAGAAGACCCAGAACAAAGCCACACCTTGACGGGCATCTGGAGAAATCTTAAACTGTAGAGACTAGGAGTCAAATCTAAATTGTAGAGGCTAGGAATCTTGAGCCTGCTTAAATGTCATAAGAACTGCAAGTTTTTGTTAACTGAATGAGGCTAGCAAACAAAGAAATCACCCAAGCCTCTATAGGGGCTGAAAGTGAACTATGGAGAACACTTCCACCAGGCCCATTTTAGCTCCCCAGGTCAGGGACTCGTGCTTCCGCCTCTCTTCCAGAGTTTTCAAAAGTCAAGAGAATGAAGAAATG